CGTGTCCCCCGCGCGGCCTGCGGCGGTGGGGCCGGGCCGGGGCCCGCAGGGAGCGGGGAAGAGCATACCGCTGACAGCCGCCGTTTGTTTTATTCTCCCCCCTTTCTTCTTTCCCCCCAGCAAAAGGACAGAAAATCTAAAAAATCAACTTGGAAATTTTGCCTTGACCTGACCCATCCTGTTGAAGATGGAATCTTTGACTCCGGGAATTTCGTAAGCGGGGGTTTTGTTCGTGCCTTTGGTGGTGCGTGTTGTAATCAGAGCGTTAGCACGTGCAAAACCTGAACCACAGCTGCACGTTACCTTCTAAATTAGCAAAATCAACACGCGTTCTTCAGCTTTTCAGTCGTTTTTTAAAAGCTGCTTGGATTTAAATTTCATTCGTGGAAAAGATCTGTGCATATCCATGAACAGAACTGTGTTAAATTCAGTCATGTGCTAACGCAAGGGCATTTTTTAATTGCACGTTGTAATACCTTACTTCTTTGCAAATACTTACTTTCAGGTCCCAATAAACTGAATTTTAATGCGTGCTATATGGCTAGGGTCCCTTCCCTAGCGCATACCTAGGGTACCATTCCCTAGTGTTGTATTTCTGCTCTAATGTTGAAACAGGAACAGTTCCTAAAGGAGAAGGTTAAGGTCAACGGAAAAACTGGAAACTTGGGGAGCACTGTTCACATTGAACGTTTCAAGAACAAGATCACAGTGACATCTGAGAAGCAATTTTCTAAAAGGTCGGCATAGGTTTCCTTTTGTTGTCTTTGTGGTAGTGGATTTTGAACAGCAATATTTTGAACATGACACACTTTTTCAGAGCAAGTATTAGTCTTACTAACACCTATAAATATTAATGACAAACACGATGCAGACAGAGTTTATCAATATTAACTATTAAAAATGTTAACTCTTTAGATTGCAAATCAGTGCTCCTTTTAATACAGACGTAGTAATACCTAGATTCTTGATATAGCTTGTTAAAGTGCATTGAGCTAAGATATGCTTTTAAAAAGCATAACTGCATTCATATCACAGGCGGTTGTTTTATTATTTTAGTGGTTGTATTACAATGTTATGTCTATGCTCTATGTGTATATGCTAAAGGAATGCATGAAGTCATATGTAGCCTTAAATTGTTGAGTGTGTTAGGGCATGCAGTAGATCAATATGTTGATTAGAGCAGAGGTACAGTTCTTTTTCCCCCCTTCGTTTTGGTGGTACAGCTGTACTAATATCTATTGAGTTAGACCAAGGCTTAGAGTTAACTTTCAGTGCTTTTGAGTTATTAGCATTGTGCTGTGTCATCCAATAGTATCATATAATAAATTATTCTCATACACCAAGAATGAAAATTTAGATATATTATCTGTAATAGATAATAATTTTTGATTTCTGGATGTAATTTGTGTCAAATGGAGCAACCTCTTGAAAAATTCAGCATCTGAAAGTTGTGCTGTTTGTGGCACTGCCAGAGCCATGTCTTGGATGGAAGGCAGACAACAGTAAGAATCGTTAAAGGTACCATGACAAAGTTCCAATATATGATTAATGTTTTTAAGGTATCTAAAATACCTCACTAAGAAGTATCTCAAGAAGAACAATCTTCGTGACTGGCTTCGTGTGGTCGCATCTGACAAGGAGACGTATGAACTACGCTACTTCCAAATCAGTCAAGATGAAGAAGGATCAGAGTCTGAGGAGTAAATGAAGCTTAGCTTTATACTCAGTGCAGCGTACAAAAGACTAGAACATCTATTTATGAGAACACTTTTAACTTATTGGTGAATAAAGATTTTGTACTCTGTTTGACAGAGTGTGGCTAGTTTACTAGTGTTTTTCTTAAATTGTTATTGAAAGCAGCCCGGGGAATCATTTGACTTGCAGTTTTGCCTCCATTACTAGAAATGAAAGCTGTTCAACATGACATCACTGAAAGTCCAGTGGAAGAGAACTGAACCCTTTGACCAGTAAAAATGTAGGGCAGATGAATCTGAGTGTTTAATCATGTTTGTACAAATTCTGCTAGAGCATTTTGTGACTAAAAGTACCAGCTACTTTGGTTAATTTGCATGAAGCTATTTATATAAATATGAAGTGCTTACTTTTAATTGTTTTGGTTTAAAAACAGGCTTACATATTTGAAAGAGCAAGATCTTATTTCTGTTGATTTATCTAATCTAGTACTTTGTTGTACTATAACCACAGACTAAACTGGAGCGTAACAAATGACAGACTTGTTAGCTAGATTTATGTATAATTCACGTTTAAGGAGGTAGGGACAAACCTCATTGCCAGCGTCTAGGTAAAACGACTTAAAAGGAAGCAGTAAGATGTGCTTTATCATTGCCAGCAAAAGGAACCCCATTAAATCCATATAGGTGTTGTCACTTGGATCATAGCATATCTTATGAGTCTTCTCCTATTTGACTTCCAGAATTATTTGTTTAATCCTAATACTTTAAGCAAGTGGCTGGTTCGTCCTGCACTGAAAGGCAAGTCATTCCAAATCCTAGAAGCTACTTCTTCCATTCATATAATATCAACAGAGATTGGGTTAGTTTTCTACTACCAGACAGTGGTATTTGTGAGCCTCCAGTTGTAGTTAATAGTTTGTGCATATCCGTTTCAAGTACAGTATGCCCTATCAAAGTGGTAGTATGTTCCTTGTGTGATTAATTAGACTATTTACTCTCAGGTTCCAGTGCATTAATGAATTCACTTGAAGGCTGTTAGAAGGCAGCCACCTCTTTTGAAATGGCCATGGAGAGTGGCCACACACTTCACTGTGTGTAAACACACAAACCCAGAAATGGATTCACAGATAGTTACGGTGAAAAATTTGGTGACATTAGTGTTAACTTCGTGATGAATTTTTGATTTTTTTCAGCATTGTTTTTGCTGGCAAACCCCTTGAGGCAAATTACTCAGAAAGTTGCCAAAGCGTAAACCGATGCGTTAACAGTCTCGTGAAACTCACCTGTGCCTCCTAAATCTAAATGAAGAGTACAGAAGGGGAGCTAAATGTTGTCAAAAGCCTTGCGGTTTCATTTGTCGTTTTTCAATTATGCTCAAACAGCTGTTGGTGAAGTATGGCCAAGGGAGATGGGAGGATGTTGTGCTTGAACAGCCGCTTGGGCAATCTCTGCCTTGTTGATTTGTTTCATTTTTCCTGTTTCAAAACTAGGAAAAGCAAGGGAGCAGTATGTGTAGCTGGCTGCAATGCCAAGGCTAACTCCTTTACCTAGGTATGTTGAGCTTTATATACTTCAGTGGAAGTAACTTAAAACACCCGAAGTTGTGCCCCCTCATCTGAGGGGCAGCCATGTTCTTTGTTTACTGGATATCCAAATGATCGCTAGTGCTTTTTTTTTTTTTTTTTTTACAGTGATTATAATACTGTATTTTAAAGTAAAATTTTTTTATTGTAAAGCTGCAAATATTTGAAAACTCTTGCCTGTTTTCTTTGCTGTGCTTAGTTAAGCAAAGAACGCCATGACTAACAATTATATTGCAAAATACATCCCCACCTATTTTTCAGAGTTGCACATTTATGTGACAGCACATTCTTTAAACCAGGCTGACACAACAAAAACGTTCTGATTACATGTAAGAACCACAAACAAATCAAAGCTAATAGGATCATGCTGACTTGTTATTTTTCCTTCCTTTTAAAGCATGCTGGCCGTTACACGTGCAGTTATACAGCATGAGATACAGATTATCATTAGCCAAAAGATGGGAAAACAAGGCCTGTTTTTGCAGGCTAAGCCATTCATTGCACAATTGGGTTTTGAGGAAACCTGCCAAAGCGCTTGTGTAAATTGCAGCATTCTCTGCTTAATTGCAGAGACGGTGGAGTCAAGGAATTCCTTCCCGTGACGCTGGCATATGTTAAACTTGGCAAAACCGGAAACCCAAGTTTCTGATAACTCACAGAATAGCTCTAGCGTGCCTCATACATTTAAAGAGAATTTTTTGACACACACAGGCACTGGCAGCTTCAGGTAAGGCCCACAGTGGTCATCCCAGTAGGTACCCAAAGTGCCACGGGTGCCCCAAATCAGCTCAGGTGAAATTTCTTATTTCACATAAGGTGCCAGGGTAAGGACTTGAGCAAAAAATAAGTCAATAACTGGGCAAAGACATTTTAAATTGAGTATTGGATTTTACCAACATAGGCAGTAACAGAGAAGCGAAGAATATAGTATATGGAGGGCTGGGCAAAAGAGGGTTATCTCTAAATTAAGTTTCATGGGGCAAATGGATTCTGCAGCTGAATATATGTTAAGATTGGGACAGGAATAAGTGCATTTTGTATATATTTGTGTATCTGTATGGTATAGAAATACAAAGTTTTTAATTTAAATGGCGTGTTTACCATATGATTGTTGATTCTTAAAGTCACATGGAAAAAAATAGCTGAAGTACATTGACTGTGTTTGTTGTCAGTCTTGAGAAAAATGATGATTCTTTCCTAATTCTATATGGTTCACAGCTGAAGAGGCCAGGTGTAATATAGGTAGCAGAGCCAGGAAACAGTCTATGTTATCGTCCACATAGGTAATTAAAGTTACGCTGATTAGAACCAAACAGAGCTTTTTTTAAAGCCGTGGATTAGCGCTTCTCTGTGTTTTGGCAGCGCCTGACTCATTTAACGCTGCAGCTATGTCGCGCTGGGCAGACTCGCCAGCTGGGGAGCCCATTGGGAGTCCTGGTAAACCAGCTGTCCGTCCCCCCACCCAACCCCGAATCTTCTATAAAACAGCCAATTGCATTCCTC